TTTTTTTCGACTACTATTATTATTAACATTTATTTTCAATTAAACAACAGGTTTCTATGAATCACTTTTATCTTCATTTCCATTACCAATTTTCTTTATTTTTTTAGATTTTTAATTGACTTTTATATCTACATTAACTTAATCCTAAGAATTCAAAACTTAAGCTATATCTTATTAAGCTTATATTTCAGCATCAGTTCTATTAAGACATTATTCACATTTGCATAAATCACTACATTTTAAATTTTGACTATAACATTCACAATATTTCTTTTTACATCCAGACTTCTTACAATTACATCCTTTTCTTGTAATATTTGAGTTTTCTTTTGTAGGTTCTTTAAGAGGTTTATCTTAAATTTTTTAACATTCAATATTACCTTATTATTAGACAGAAAATTAGGTTTAACTCTTTTATTAAAAACATTATGCAAAAGCATCTGGATTTCTTAATAATGCTTCCTCTATAGCTTTTGATCTTTCTTATGGATTATCAATTCTATTTTTACAATCCTAGCAATTGCAACTTTGAGAACATACCTTTTTTTATAAATATTATTATTTCTCATACCCAATTATTAGCAAAACATTCACAATAGAGTTTCAGACATTTGCTTTTTTTACAATTGCATTAAAAATCTGAAACCTTTTGATATTAAACTAATTGTAACACTTTGGATTACAGTTCTTTTGAAACTGTATTTTAACATTGCAGTCCATCATATTGAGATTATGGATAATAACAAAATGGAGGCATTAATTATTATTATGGTCTTGGATGATACCATGGATTGGGTGGAACCATATAAGCCTAACCTTACTATGGAGGAGGTGGATATTTCATAAACATTGGTTATGGCTAGTATTTCATAGGGGGATAATAGCCGAAAGGATAATGCATAGGGATACGATGGGGATCATCGTCAATGTGATCCATATGTGGAACTTCACCTAATAAATGCTTTGGATAAGGATATCTACTTGGTCCTTTCCTATCACTGTTCATTTGGGGATATTTCTGTGGATCATAGTCATGATAGACTTGCATAGAAGGTCATCGTGATACCTTATTTTTCTAATTCAAATGGAGGAGGACACATGGGAGGAAATAATTATTGATAGGGCATAGGTGTAAATCGTGGTGATGGGTTTCCTTAATACCCCCAATCCTCTGTAAAATCTTGCACTTTCTTATTGTCAGGTTTTGGTTATGGATCATTTGAAACATCCCTTGATTTATCATTAACAAGTATATTTACCTATTCTGTTCCTCCGAATCAGCACTCATAAATTAAAATATTTAATCTCTTAAGATATTTAAATTAATGATCAAATATAATATAAATTAAACTCTATTCTAAAATAATGGTTTTTAAATATAGATGACATAGTAATTATAATAATATTTCTATCATTTTCATATAAGTTTACTTATTTTGAAACCTAAAATTAATTTATTAATTAATCAAACTTCTTTGATCCTTAAAATTTTTTATTTAAATTTAAAAGAATTATTTAAAATAAAATAATTATATATTAAGATGTCTTCGTTGTTAGATAATAGAACTAAATTATATTGATAAATCAATTGCTGCTCAAAATAAATCTATAACATGCAACTCCTGATATTATGGCCATAGAGGAATAAATTAAACCTTTGATTGGTCTATAATATAGCCAAGAAATTCCAATGGTACCTAAAGTTAATGGCATAGATATCATTCCACTCAAGATAGCCAACAAAATTCCAGTCAATTTGGATAAGAATCCACCCAATAATGGAATATAATATAATAGAGTGGTTATTGGAGTGAATACCAAAACAAATCCAAATAACTATTATAAAATTTAATATTCTTACAAATAATAAATATCCTCCAAATCTACATAACCATACTATTCCAACTAAACTATTTAATTAAGCTTTGAAACATTAATCTAAAGTGAAACTTCTATTGAAGTACCAATTAATATAATTTAAAGGTGCTTCAAAAGATTTAAAAATATTTGATGAAACTTCTTTTGATGGATCAATTTAATTAAGTGGTTATTCTTCTTCACTTAATTCATGGAATTTATTTAAACTCTTTAACATATCTGGATTTTTAACATAATCTTAATTAACATCTTCTGAATATGAATCCTTAAATAAATAAGGTTTGAATGATTCCTTATATTATCTTGCTACAATGGCAGCATAATTACAAGGTACTTTTTCAAATAATACTCTTTAATCACCTATTGAATCCTAATTTTCAGATTTTCTAAAATAAATATATTTTCCATCATAATTGCTAGAAAATTAGATTTATAATATACATATATATTTGAGTTCTGCTTAAAAATTCCATTTTAGCTGATTCACATTGTTATTAAGAAATAGAATCTACTTATATGTAATCTACAGCTTTGCTTTTAAGATAATCAGTTAGTTTATATGCTCCAATATATACATTTTCTGCTGTAAATTCTTAATCTTAAACTGTTAAATCTTCACGTCTATTTTCATGATTAGGATATGATCCTTGAATCTTTGATGACCATTCACTTTCATAGTAATATACAGTTCTTTTATTCTTTTTACTTCCCTCCTCTCTAGATTTTTAAACCCATTAATAAGTTTCTACCTTTCTTCTCAGTTTTACACAGTTTTTAACTTCTAAATCAAATTAAGGATCACTGATAACGTCATTTGTCGTTAATTTTCCTTTGACATGAATTAATTGACCTTCCATACGAGGGTCAATTTCAGCAGCATTGACTGATTAACAAGTCCTTCTTGCAGCTAACAACCTTGTCTCAGAAATAGCCATTCTTATTATGTTGATATAATTTACCTTCTCTCATTAAACCATAAACAAGGGAATGCAGAAACTATCATTGCAAAACCAATCAAAAAGGCAAATATTGGACCAATTACGCTATCACTGTCACTTTCATCATCAGAACTACTAGAGTAATTTCTACACTCTATTAACTTGACCAAAATAGTTAAGAGTAGCAATTTCATACTATTTTTTTAAATTAAATAATGAATTTTATGTTTAGTCATAATGGATTTATGTACTTATATTTAAATATTACTTAGATATATCATATTAATTATGTATCATATATATTAAAAATAGATAGAAAATTATAGGATAATTATTAGACATACTTTTTGTAATTGTATTAAATATATTTTTGAGGACATTTTAATAAAATTAATTTTAAATATTATTTATTTAATCTTGTATTTATAATAATATATAAATTAAAAATAGGTTATTTAAGTTAGAGTATTTATTTAATAGAATTCTAATAAATTAATGTTAAACTTAAGATTTATTTTAGAGTATGTAGATATATAAATATTATCAAATTCTTTTATTTATTAAAATAGTATATATATTAAATTAGTTATTTAATAGGTATATATATTAAGTTTAATGTAAAATACAATTAATGATGGTAAATCTTGTAAAAATAAGTGTGTTTTAATAATTATTATAAATAAAATCATGTATAATTAAAATAATGAAAAGGTTGTCAATTCCCTTTTTGATTTGGTTGATAATGACTTTATGGTCAATTATTTGATGGATCCACCGTAAGTGATTGAAATTATGTTATTAGTCATGCATTCCCTAGAACAAATAGTAACTAAAATTTTATTGGATTATAATAAAATTTTTCATTATTGGATAATTAATATGAATAAATGGAAATGAAATTAGAAGAGCCAATTGCAGATGCAAAGTAACAAAAATAGAAAAAAAGAAAAACATAAAAAAGCAATGTAATGAATTTAAATAAGAATTTTAATAGTAATCTGAACCTATAAAACAAAAAGATCCATTTTAATATAAGAATAACTTAAAAAATACTTATATTAATAAGATCACAAATCTGGTTTAGTAAGATAGTCAAAAATTGTTATAACAACAATAGGCAAAATTTAGAACATCGGAGGAAGATAGACATGATAAAAATAATAGTGTTTCTTATTAGGATATTGAGGATAGTACTTAAGCAAAATTGTTAAGAAATAGAGAATGTGCTAGAAATTCAAGGAAGAGAAAGAAGATTTATATTGAATTGTTGGAACATCGAGTTAAATAATTAAATGATGAACTAGAGAAATAGAAATTATTGAATAAGACAAGTGCAGGTTACTTAAATAAAATGAGTTAGAATTAATAAGTATTTATTATTTATTAGAATATTTTAATAGTTATAAGGATTCTTTTTGGGAAGATAATAATTATATGAGAAATTAGAGAAATCAATTTAAAATAAAGCAGATGATAATGAATTAAATTTATTATTAGATTCAATGAGATTTAGAGTTGGTGGAGGTGGTAAAGAAAGAGTAAGTGCATCCAATTATTTTTTTAATTAAATATTGGAAATCTGTTTTCCTGTTCATGTTAGATATATGTTATGGGCTGCAAGTGAAAACAAAGACTTATTTTCTGATTAATTAGATTAATAATAATAAGATGGTTAACCATAATGGTTGTTGGATTTAACTAATGATCTCTAAATAACAGAAGCTTAAAAAAAATAAATGAAAAAATCTTAAAGAAGAATTATAAGTGATAAAAATAAATTATTAGAGTAATTAATTTTAAATAAAATAATAGAATTTTAACTTAATTTTAAGAAATTAAAGAATAATTATATAATAAAACCTCTTAAGTAGAAAATTTTGTAGATGAACTTAGAAATATATTAAATCCTACACAAGTTGGTAAATTTTTAATTGGTTTAGAGAAAGTATAAAAATATATAAATAAAAATAGAACAAATTTAGAAGAGAAATGGCAATATCTAAAATATGGAATATATTTGATGATCATAGTTAAGATGAAGAAGGAGATGTTGAAGTTAAAGAAGAAGATTCAATAGAAGAACCAGCAAGAAAAAAGATATAAATTTGATATTTTTTATGTTACATGTCTCACCAATACAATATTATAATATTTATACTATTTTATTCCAAAATTAATCATAAATCATTAATTTTTGTAAGCATAATAAAAAATACCTCCTCCTAAAATAATAGATATTAATAGCATTAAAAATCCAATCTTTGGGCGATAGTATACCCAAGAAAAGCAAATAGAAAAGATTGTTATTGGCAATGCAGCAATGCTACCAAAAATAAAAAAACTCAATCCAGTCAATTTTTCTGTTGGAATAAAGTCTGTTAGAAATGATACAGGAGATAATAAAATGATAGTTCCAATTGCCTAATACAAATTTATTTTTTATTTACTATTAAAATATATCCAATACTTCTGAAAACCCAAAATAACATAGCATTTTCATTTACAACTTTTGAAAAACATTCTTCAGGTGTAAATAGACCTTAAAAGATCCAATAAATTTCTTTAATTGGTTTACTATCATTAGGAACAGGGAGATTACAACAAGTTCTTTCATGTTCATCATAATCTCTTGCTACTGTTTAATTAAAAGTATCTTCAAATTACCATACTACTAATTTAGTATTATCTCCTCTTGCTACTATTGTAGCATCACTACAAGTTACTTATTTAAAACATATTCTTAAATCTCCATTCACAATTTGATCTTCAACCTAATGCATATATATGTAGTCATCTTATAGTAAACTTTATAAGAAAAAAATTTTACAATCTACAAAATCCACTATTTTTATATTTCTATTATGCAATCTACACATTTGCTTAATTCAATTTAACATTCTATAAAGGAGTTTTGAGTTCTTTTTTCATATCTTCTTCCAAATGAAATTGATGCAATTTAACAATTTAATTTAGAAATGTTTCTGATTTCAAAACCCATTTAGATTTATCATTATTATATCCAAAATGATTCTCAACATGATTATCCATCCATTTTTATTCTTATTATTTATTATCACCTTATACCCATTAATACATTTCGACATTTCTATACAATTTTACACAATTTATTTAAGAAACACCAAACTCTTTGTCTGTTACTAATTCATCACTTATTAATTGACCTGTTATATGGATTAAATCTTTTGAATTTGATTCTTAAAAAGGTGTTAATGAGATGCAATGTTATCTAGCAAATTAAAGCCGATATGAATTTATAGCTGCTCTTCTTTCATTAAACCACAATAGGAGAATTGAGAATGATATGCATACAATACCAACAACAAATAATTATGTATCTAATGGTCCTGAACCTGAACGAAGATGATTTATATGCTTATGAATGGAAGAACCTAATGTTATTGAAATAAGTGTAAATAATTTCAAATATTTCATTAATTAATATTTTTAACATTCACTAAACCATTATACCAATCCATCATATGATCTTAAGAATGGAACAATAGATCAATTTATCCCTAATTTAAAGTGAGAATTTGCATAGGCCAATAAGAGAGACTTGGAACATTATTTTCTTTCTCCTATATTTTATTTGGCTTTCTCTTTAAATAACCTTGAACTTATTTTGGAATGATAACTCTAATAATTTGAGATAAAGGCAATGATGAATCAATTAACTATGGTTTCAATTGATTTCTAAATTCAATTCTATCCTAAGTTAATTATGCCATTCTTAAACCATAACCCAATTAAGTAGGATTTTAATGTTAAAATACATCAAATTCTCTTTTTGAAGGTTTATTTGAGAATTTTTTAAGTAATAAAGTTCCTTTAGTTAAAGATTTCTTTAAAGTAGTCTCTTTAACAAAGTAAGACTTTGACATTTATGGACTGATTTAAGCAGTAGAATGTTTATGACTAAATATAGTTTTACTATGATGATGTTATCTAATAGGAAGATTATTATTATTATTTTGTTATTCTTCATATATAGTTTATAATTTAACAGGATGAGATGATTTAGTCATAATATTATTGAATTCATCCATATGTTAAATTAATGAATCATCTTATTATAGATTAGCAATTTATTTGGTAAACTCTATTTATTGAATACTTTTAATAATATTAAATTAAATTACATTTATGATAATTGAAGAGTATCATCTTTCTTTTATAACATGGATTGATTTGTCTTATTTTATTACTAATTTATTTGATTTGATAAATCATTGTCCACATATGATATATTATATTGTATGGCTTAGTCTATTTAATTGTATTATTTATAAATTTAAGTAATTCCTTAAATCTTTTTATTATACTATGTGTATATCATTCCTTTTATTTACTTTTATTATTCAAGTAATAATTATTGATACTTCTCCTCACCATGTATAACTCTAAACCCCTTAAAATCACTAACTTAATTTAATCAATACAATTACTCCAATTAGCTATATATTATTCAAAAACCTGTATAGTTTATTCTTCCATTCTTTTATTTAGTTCTTAATATAAGGTTTCCCTTTCCTTAATTAAACTCTTAACCTTTTGATCTGAAGAAAAATTGTTTTGAATTTCTTTATCTAACTATTCAAGTTTAATAGCAAAACTATATTCAAAAGTACTATTGGCTTTATGAAACTCTAGTAATTCTTCAAGTTCCTCATAATGCCCTATTAATTCTGCACGTTAAAGCAATTTGGCATTCAAATCTTCAATTAACATCTATTGCCATTCTGAATTCATTTTAAAATATTATATTTAACTGTTAGTATAAAATAAGAAATATAATTCATTCATTTTTTTATAAAGTCACAATATGACTTTTTAATTCCTATATCTATTTATTTGATTTTTGATATTGTTCATCCATAAATTAATAATCATGATGTTTATTCTTATAAGTAGCTAATTCTTATCTTAATTAAGCTGTTTAAGCATTCAATCTCTAAATTTCTTTTTAAAGACTATAATTCTTTTCATCATTTAATTCCAAAACTTTTATTCTATTTTTCAAAGCATATACTTCTTCTTAATCTACATTAGGTTTATTTGATTAATAATTAATAATTTATTCTTTCTCTCTCAATTTTTTCAAAGTATCCTATAAAATTCTATTTTATTATTGTAATTCTGTTTCTTTTTATTACAATTTTTCTTATAAATCAGTTGTGATTTATGTTAATTAAGTATTTTATTCTTATAAACACTTTTATTTAAATTAATCTTCTTTTTTACTATCATTAAAAACTTATTCCATTCTACTTTATTTTGATTTCCATTATTCTATTTCTAATTTAAGTTCATTAATAAGAACATTATTAATTTAATTTTATTAGAGTCTTTAACTGTATTACATATTTGTATTCTTATTAACCTCTAATTCTATTTATTTCTATTTTAATAGTTCATTTAATTTATTATAATCATTTTCAATTATGTTATAATTTTATTTTAAATGATTATATTACACATCTAATTATGCTTTCTCATTAGCAATGAATTCTAATTCATTAATTTTATTAGCTTAATCTTATATTTTACTACAAGCCAATTCTATTTTTGATCGTTATTCATTTAATTAATCTATTAATTAATCAATATATGAATCAATTTATTATGATTTATTTAATTCCATAATTAGATTCTAATTTAAGGCTTTTTATTATTCAAAATTTCTCAATAATTCCTAATTCTTTTCATGCAATTACATATTTTCATGTCTTAATTACATAAAATTATTCTATTCAACTTATAATGCAACAATCTCTTATTTTAATTTTAAACAATTTCTTTTCTAAGATTCTAATTCTTATTATAAAACTTAATTTTATCCAATCACTCTATTTATTTCTAATTATGCCTATTATATTTCCTATGCCTTTTACTAAAATATTTATTGATAATAATCTATCTCTTATTATAAATTTCTAAATTACTCTTACTTTTATTATAATTAAATTTCTTATGTCTGAATAGTTGAATTCAATTAATAAACAAATTTTTATTAATTCTTATATTCATTAATTTATTAACATAAATGTTAATTCTCTTAATTTGATAACATTAATGCTTCATTAACCTTTTCCAATTAATTTGTAACAAGTGTTAACTTCTCTTATAATTCATAAGTATATGTTAATTGTTGTCTGAGTTTATCATTTTCATTTGCATAATGTTACTTATATATATATGAATGTTATATTACCAATTTTTAATTCAAAAGTTCAGTCTAACCCATCTATGGCCTATCTGACAATTATCTTAATAATTGATTATTTTCATTTTATAAATCTTGCTAAATAATCAATCACACATAAATACATACATATTTTTTAGTTAAATCTTAATATTGATGTTAAAGTTGAGAATCTCTATAACCATAATCCGTGCTTGGAGATTATTGATATCTAATTGGTTACTAAATGATTGGCTATTAGTATTTGTTAGGATCAACATATATAGTAGTAGTAGGTATGTTCTGATAAGGGACATTCCTGTAGGGACTTTAATTGACATACATAGATGTATAGAAAAATTAGTTGTTACAAACAAAATTTATTAATAATGTTAGTTATGTTTGATAAATCAAATTGAGAATATTGTTCATTTATTCAATCCCATATTTAATAATAAATAATCTTTTATTGTAAACAATGAATCTTTTTTTTAAGGTTCTTATTTCCATTTGGTATCTCTGAAGGTACTTCTTTAACTAATAAATATTAATAATCCTTATATAAAAGTAAATTAAATTTTGATATCTAATATGGTCAAAAATAAAAATTGGATTGTAAAATATATGTTTATAACATTTTTGTTATTACTTAAAATATACTATTTCAAGAAAAATCTTGGGATGCTTTAAATATTTTTATTATGTGATTTTCACTCATTAGTATTATTTTTAATTCATTATTCAATATTTCTCTTTGGGTGATAAAGGTCGTGTATAATCGTAAAATTTTTTGTCTGAATTTTTTACAGATAGAGGTTCTCTTATTTCAATCTGATTAGATTTCTAAAATGGCTGAATCTATTTATCTTCTAAAACAGAATTTAGAACTGAATTTTTGATTTAAATTGAATGGGGAGGCATGATTTAACTAAAATGAGGGAATATACGATTGAATTTATAAAAAGTAACCATCCTTGTTTGTAATGATTAACACTATTTTTATTAATATTACTATTTACTTCTTTGTAAAGTTCTAACAGTTATTACTTATTAATTATGAGGTTTGGATTCTTTTCTATCAAATACTTCACATCTTTTAAGATGAAGATGTAAATATCTTATATATCAAAATACAAGAACTTTACTAAATGAGCAATTATATCATTTGGTACTTGTTCATTATTAATTGTTTCAATTAATCGTTACATATTCATTCCAATATAGCATTAATTTGAAAGAGTGAAGTAAATCATTAAATCATCTTAAGGCTTACCAAAATCTTCATTAATTAATGTTGTCTATGATGCCAATTTGTAAATATAACAATAATATGATTGACATAATTGACCAATTAAATTATCTGTTCCATCATCTGCTTTGATATTTATTGTTAATTTTGTATTGATGATTATTTTCGATAAATCTGCTCTTGCTACTTAAGAACTGATAATTATATGGACTAAAAGCAGCATTTTGAGTTTTACATAAAATTTTTCTTTTTATTATAAGTGATCTCCTACTACTTGTAACAATTAGTTTAAAAATAATATCTAAATGTAAATATATAAATGTACTTTTGTTTGATCATTTGTAAAGAAATGTTTAAGACGATTGCTAATTTATAGTTAGGACATAAAATTAGTATCATTAACAATAAGTTTCAAATCAGATAAAGCCAATGTAAGTTTATTAATAGCTGACATTGAAGTATTTTCATTAAAAAATTGCTTTATTTTAGTAATCATAATATAATTATATATTATCTGTTAAACATATATAAATCTATTATAATCAATTAACAAATGACATGCTTTTATTCATTAATTTATGATTTAAAGCATTGGCAATATTTTCAATATTATATGAAGGATAATAATATTCATAACTACATACTTAATCTAAATTATCCTCATTTTCTTCTTATTATGGTATAATAGATCCAGTTTATGATTTTGGTTACTACATGATACTTGTGGATTACATCTTTTTATTTAATGAACTTGAAGAACTTGTTTATCTATTTTTTTGAGTTCTTTTAACTTATAATTCATTTGAGTTAGTAGATTTAACTAAATTTACTTTAATCGAATTTTAAGTGTGTGAATAATCAACATGTTTATGTACAAATTTTCTACTATTATATGAGGATTCCTTTTCTTCTAATTTTATAGGAGGCATACTGCTTTATTAATGAGTTTAACTACTGAATGTATTTTAAGGTGAATTAATAGTTTTAGGAACTTCAACAGTACCATGTTTTTGATATAACGAATAACGAGATGATTTCTCATCTTAAAAATCATTTAAAATAGAATCTTCAAAATTATTAGTACTACCTTATAATTTACCCATTACTTCATTAGTTAAATCAGTTTCTAAAGATATTTTATTTGTAATAGCAAAACTAATGGCTGTAATACATATAAGATTTTTATTTAATAAAGCATTAATTCTATTTCTTCCATTATCTCTATAATAATTAACTCTATCATTTGGTTCAGATGTATTATGAATAAGAATTAATTCTTTAAAATTTGGAACATAAAATACATGTTTACATTTAGTAAAAGTATGATTTCTATATCCACAACATGGACAAACTTCTTTCATATTATCTTTTAACATACAAAATTTTTGAAAATCTTGACTATGCATTTTAATTAACTATAAAAAATCATTAATATCCACATGAGCAATTAAAGATTCACTTAAACATCTAAGTGTTAAAGGACATTAAATTTAACGATAAAAATATTAAATAGGAAATAGATTTGTTGTTAATACTTTATTACCAATACATTAAGCAAAGTTTCCCTTCATCAAAAAAAATAATTTATCTATAACTTAATATTATTGATGTAATATTGTTCCATGAGGATAAGTCAATGTTTACAATTTTTAAGACAAATCTTACAAAAATGCTTTAGTAAATGGTAGACTTTCTAATAATGGCATAAATAGTTCTTGTCTCATTTGATATTATAAATCTGGTCTTAATCCACTTAAATCTATAGGTTCTAACATATTTCTATTTTAATATCTTTATAAATTTTAACTAAGTTAAGCACTAATCTTGTATTTCTATTTTGGCTTATATTATAAAAATTGTTTAATTAAATATATTGTAACTAAATAACCAATTATTGTGGCTATAATTGAAAGTAATCTTTATGGTATATTTGTATCTCCATTTATTTCTAGTTGTCTATCATAAGGATTTCCACTATTGGTCAACTAGAATATTGTCCATTAAAATGATGTTATGTAGATAGAAATGTTACTGTCTGAAAATCTAATTATGCATGAAATTTTACTAATCTTGAGTAAGTTTTGATTAAAGAGTTGAAAATATATGAATTAATAAAATAGGAATAAAACAATATGTTACTTATGAATTAATCATATAGAGTCTTTGTACTCTCAATAATATTAACATTACTATTAAATATTATTAATAAATATTACTAAAGTAATCTGATGCAAATAATGTGAGTAAACAACTTATTAGATAAATAATATCTTAATATAAATATTATTAAGCTATACTCCATCTATTCTCTGTGTACATCTCATCAATGTATACTCCAATAAAATAGTTACTCAAACTTTCAAGGATAGATAAAGTAACTTTAATTAATTGATATTATTTACAAAAAGCTAAAAATAATTCTTGAGATTCACTGAATGCAAATTCCCAGAAGATTATTAAAAATCCTATCATATACAATATTAACATCATATAACGAGTCCATAATACTTTTGGTGTATAAGGATTAAAGATAAAGCAATTCTATGCTATAATATTAGCCTTATCATCTATTAACATTAAATGGGATTATTTAAGAATATTTGGTTAAACGCACATAATTTTACTTAAAAACTTAACAATATAAAACCATCTTTTAGGCCATTTAGGTATTAATAATAAGTCTCCTTTAGGTAAGAGTGGACTTCCTTAAACTTTGAATTTTGGAGAAGGATTTGGAAAATATGAAGATGAAGCTTTTCTCAATTATTCACTATGTTTACGCAAGCCCATATCACTTTAATCACTAAATTTTCGACTATTTTTAGAAATCAACTTTCTTCCATTTATATTTTGCATTTCTATTTGAAATAACTTTAAGGATTTATAATTTTCCTCAACTTCATCAATTTTATTAAATTCTCTTTTTTCCATTGACAATCTGGAACCAAAGATTTCACCCTCCTCCAAACTTTCTTTATGTTCACTTTTCTACAACTGATTAGGATCTTCAAAATTGACATGCTTCTACACTCCTGCTTGATAAGCTTAAATCTCTTATTAAATTAAACGAGGAACTGCCAAAAATGTTTAAGATTGTTAGGAGGAATGTTGAGAGTTGCTTTAATCCAAACTATATTACTAATTAAACATTTTTAATTGTATAAGAAAAGTTTAATATTTTGAAATTAATGTATAGTAAGTGATATATTAGATGTTTAGAATAAGAAAAGGTATATAATGTTGCAGAATAGATGAAATAAATTATAAAGAAATATTTATTAATAAAATAACAGAATTATGTTAAATAAACCAGAGTTGTCAAAAGAATTGAGTGTTTTCTTAGAATTGTTACATTAAGATAATGGAGAGTATAAAGGATATGAGAATTATTTAATTGGTAGTGATCTTGATGAAATGGATAGTAAGAAGGGAATTAATAAGGATCTCTCAATTATATATAGTTAACCTGAAAGTGAAGTATCAACTTAGAGAGACAATACATCTCTTAATATTGGAGATTTGTTTTCTTTAATTTTTAGAGATCTAGAAAATCAATTGTATTCTCCATTATCTTAGCGAATCAAATAATTATAAGTAAGATGGTTATTTAAACTAAGTAATAAATTCATATTTATATGATGAGAGTATCTGAGAAAATGAATGAGTTCTAATTGTAGAACTAGAGTCTTGAGACTAATAATAAATTATTAGTTGAAGCTCTCAATTCATCTTAACAGGAGATACAAGTCTTAGCTGTAGCACATGAAGAATCATAACAAAAATTGAAGAAATCTATTTAAGATTTAAAGAAATAATGCGTAAATTTTTAATTAATATATCATTTTTAGGATGAATTAAATAAATCTTTAGCTTACACATAATAAATAAATTAAAATTTATTATAATAAATTGATAGAGAATAATAATCCTATAAAAAAAATGAAGAGGAATTTAGAGATGCTTCTCAAAGATTAATCAAAAGTAATTAAGCTTTACGGTATTAAATTTATTATTATAATATAGTGAAATAATTGTTAATATTGGCAATATCTCTCCTATGCATAAGAGTAAATTGCAAGAAGTCATTAAATATTTGACTGAAGGAAGAGATTAAAAATAGACAGAATTAAGAAGTGGACGTAGTTAATCTAAAAAATAAAAAGAGAATAATAGTCTACATTATTGTATCTCAAAATTATCATCATATAGCTACTTTAAACATTAGCAGTTCTAGAAACAAAAAATCTATGTCTCCTTAAGGATTTACATCTACAAGGAAACAATAAGGTGTAAATGTTTTAGATACAAATTATTAAATATCTTATAAAGAGTTATTTTTAAAGAGTTTAAAAGTAACAAAATAAAAATGAAACAGTATTAATTTATTTTATTACTATTTTCATATTTATCCAAAATTTTATGTGATATTAAGTTGATCATTTTCTTAATATTCAAATTATTCTATATAAAATTATTAATTCTAATAAGATTCTTAAAGCTAAGTGTTTTCAATTATAAGATCTTCTAATTTATTAGTTAATTAAGTTATTTCATCTTGAAATTATTTTAAATTCACTTAAAATTAGATTGATTATTCATTTTTATCACTTTATAGTTTCTATTTAAAATATGAATGAATACATTTAATTATTTTTAGAGTATATTATTTTTTCGAATTGCTTCAGATAAAATTTAAGACATGTTCTCCTTTTATTTTGTTAATTCTTAGATCTAATTTTGTATTTCCTTATTAGATTAGTTTTGAGAAAAAGAGTTGCCATGAACTCTATTGATAATAATAGATTATGGATGTTTATTTTCAACAATTGGTCGAATAGGTAATCTTTCATCTTATCTTTATGTGAGATTCAAGATGCTATTATGAATGGAAAATTGTCTAGTTGGAGTCATGTCTACACAAACATGAATTGGTCGAACATTAGTAGGAGTAATGGCAAATCTATTTCGAGGAATAGGTGCTTATATTAGCATTTTTAATTAAATAACAGTCACTTAAATAAAATTAAGTAGCTAAAATAAATAATTAATTGATAATAATAAATAGAGAGAATCATAATTATAATATAGAGATTATGAATATGGAGAGTACCATATAAATAGCAAAGTAATTTTGTTAATTTAGAATAAAATAAATAAAATTAAATTAATGATGAGATTTAAGCTGATTCATCTTGTATGATTTCATGATTCCAATTCTTTCCCCAACTGATAGATATATTATCAATATATATTATATATATATATATATATAAATGAATTAAGAGAAAGATTGCTCTTATATGTAATAGGTTAAATTTGATTTGCGTCGACGAAGAATGCATAATGTGCCTTCAGTATTTAATTGTGAAGCTCAGAAACGTAGGAATTCTTTCTCTCTGAGTTCTGATGCTTGTAAGAGTCCTTAAAGGAAGGCAACAAAATACTTCGAAAATCAAAATCCAGGATAAAATGCTTATTTTTGGAGTTTGATAAAATCAAAGAGAAATGAAAATGAATAATTTGTTTAAGTGTTGAAATCTATGTGTCCTATTTAAGTAAATGAAGTTGAAGCAAGATTATAATTTTTGTTAAGAAATTTTGGTTATGAAGATGAGAAATCTATGTTGGAAATAATAGAAAATATATAATAGGGTTAAAGATGTTAATAATGGACATAGGAAGAATCACGTATTTTGATTTGGGCTATTTGTAAATTGGGAGTATAACATAATTAATGGAAGGAATTAGGGAATTTATTGAATCGTTCAGTAAAAGAATTGAAAACACATTGGACAGAATTAATTCATCATACATAAAGAGGATTATTATGGACAGGATAGGAAGATTAAACATTATAAAATATGATAATGACTTATTTGAATAATTCATAGACAATAAATTGGAAATGTATGGCAAATGTATTAAATAAGACTGATAAATAATGTTAAGATCGTTGGTATAATACACTTGATCCATCTATTTCAAAGGATGCTTTTAAAATAGAAGATGATTTATAATTATTATAATTAGTTTAGAAATATGGAAAGAGATGGAAAAGAGTATAAAGAGAATGGTCATTAAATAGAAAGAGATCTCGTTATGATTTGAAAAAAAGATTTTATGAATTATTAAATTAACCAGATTCTGGTTATGATAGTGATACATCTTCAAATTCATCATAAAAATATAGGAAATTAAATTAAGATGATATGGATAAAATATAGAAATTGATTTCTGAAATGTAAATAAGTGAAGGAATGTAATTAGAAAATAAATTAGGAAAAGATAAATTATTAAAAAATAAATTATTAAGTATTGCTAAGAGTGATCTTGATAAAATGTTAAATTAATAAAGAAAAATAAAAATATAATCAGCAAGTACACCAACAGAAGAAAAAAAAAATGATATTTAAGAAGAACCTGATGAAGTAATTATGAATACACCATCAATTATGAATTCTTTATCAAGATGTTTATTAAAAATTAATTTAGAAACAGAAGATGATTAATTATCAATTGATAAATTAGCTATTCCAAAAGTTTAATATAATGTTGATTCAGTAGAACATCTAAAACATGAAGATATATTTGATATCTAATTTGCATTAGTTAATGATAAAACAAATACTTTATATTATGCTAATTTAGAATTCATGTAATAATTAATTAATTTAATTACAAATCAAAGAAAATTGATGTAATTAACTGATATGAATAAATAACCATAGAAAACTAAGAAAAAATTCAGTTCTTAATAATTAATTCAAGTATATCCTAATAAAGTAGGATTGTCATAATTTAGTTAAGATGATGCTAAATAACAATGAATAATTATTTCAACTAATTTTCAACTCTTATTTTATATATATATATATATTTATAAATGGATTTTTAATTGCCAAAGAGGTATGGACTAAATAAACCTACTTTTAAAATGATGTACAGTATATCCTAATAAGGGCTGGCTAACATTTTGCTAAATTTGATTCCTCACTCAAACCACTCAAAAATCTAAACACATTCATTGATCTTTCTAAACCTATTCAAGAACTTAATTACATAGAACATAGGAAGGTTCGTCAGATTATGCAACATCTTAAATTCTAATCTTAGAGTCGTAAATTCATCAATCATTAGGATGAATAGATAGCTGCCATTAGTCAACAATTAGAAATGGAATTAGAAAATCTAGCAAGAGAAGATTCTCCAACACCTTAAGTAGATTTAGTCAAACTCAAATTTCCATCAGAAATGCAAACTAAATTTGTACATGAATCAGCAGCTACTCTCGAAACTCATTATAATCTACATCGAATCAAAGAAAAAATGAATCATCGTAATATTACTTTAACAGAAAGTGATTTACTTAATAAAATTACACAAATTAATTTCTAAACTGCAAGAAACACAGACACTAAAGAATTTTATCATAATTTTAGTAGTTCTCATCCAAGATTAAAGAAAGAATAGAAATAATTGAGTCTTGATTAAAAATACTAAATACTTAAAGAATATTTAAAAGAAAGAGGTATAGTAGTAGGAAGAAAAGAATCTATTCCTAATGAAGGATACTTATAATTTTATCATGAAGCTACTAATAGATTAATTAAATAAACTAAAGAACAATAACTTTTAAAATTTAGAAAGAGTATTACTTTAAAGACTTCACCTGATAATTAAGATCATTCTCCTAATAAAAAAATGAGTATTACAAAAATAACTACAATACCTACTACTGTAGGAACAACACCTGCTTTAATTGGTATAACTCCTAGTAATTATAATATGCTTCATTAATCATTAATTAAATTGAATGCAGGATAAAATAGTTCTCCTGTTTTTATTTCTCATAGACATAGAACAGAAAGAGAGAAATCACCTGAAAAACCTTATTCAGAAAAATGGTAGGATTTTTAGAATAAGACAGAAGCTTTATAAAGTTATTATCTTAATGAAGGAAAGGAATGTTTATAAACTTTAGAAGATTTAGAGAATACTATAGAAAAACCTTATTTAAGACATTTTAATTAAATTATCAAAGTTGAATAAGAATAAGGGAATTTAGAAGAAGAATAAAAATAAAATAAAATAATGAGAAAAAGAAAATAGAATTTGCCAAAAAAATTAAGAATGTAGAAGATCTTCAAATCTGAATTATAGTGATTTATGTGTGTGATTCTATAATTCGTTTCCCTAAATTAAGAAATTTGAGTATATATATAGGCTTAATACTTCAACATCAAGGCAAGTCCCATTAGTGTAATGGTAGCACGTGAGATTCCGGCTCTCGAGTTCGAGGTTCAATTCCTCGGTGGGACGATTTTTTTAAATTGATAATATAGATCATCAAATCAATTTCAAATAATTACAAATTGAATAGAAAATCTATAATAGATTTATAGATCCAATTAGTATATACACTTCAGATCTATAATAAGTTTTTTTATCAAAATTTAATTACACTTCTAGTTTAATATATTTAATCATATTTTTATTCATTCCTTACAAATATTTAAACATTATATTAGAAACATTCCAATTAAAATTTAGATTCAATATTCAATAAATCTAATATAGTTATAATTCATTTGATATGATTTATGATATTTATTGTAAATATACAATAAATATTATAAATAATAAATATAATGTGTTGCCTCATTTTAACATTACTATTTGTCCTAATATACAAATATGTGATTTCTTATTTAAGAAAACAAGATGAATTAAAATAATAATAATTTGCAAACAGATAATCTCCATAAATTCCAGAGACAGAATTATCTATACAATATTAATCTCTCAAATTAGAAGTCTAAAAAATGAAGTAGGATGCTGAGACATTAAATACAACTGAGACATTTTCAAAATATAGTAAACTTTAAAGATAATTGATTCCAAAAGAAGAATTATTAGAATAATTAAAGAAATAATATGAAGAATATTAAGAATCATTTCTAAAATAATGGGAAGCTGAATAATCAAAAATACCAAAACCACCTTCAATTTCTAAATAACTTAAATATATTGATTATTTGATTATAATTATAATGATATTAGGATCCTGGCCAATTTATTATGAATTAAACAATGTTAATATTGATCAATTTAATCCTATTTTAGGAACTATTGGTTATAAATAAAATGAAATTAATAATAATTCAACTTAACTATGGGGTACCAATTGGACATTCTGTTGTCTTATTATTGGATAATTAATTTTTGGATGAATGAGTGAGTGTATATTAATATATAAACATAATTATTTTTTGATCTATTTTAAAGAAGATTATGAATATAATTTAAATCAATTAATATTTTTTATTAACAATTTACAGATAATAAATATATGTATAAATTTCCAAAATTCAAAATAGTCAAATTATTGTATTATGAAAAACAATAAAACCTTAATAATATTAGGTATATGTTCTTATATATTAATATAGAATTTATTTACAATATTTTATCAATAATTTTTAGAGAAATTCAATTAAAATAATATTAATGAATTTATAATGAGATGTAATTATAAGAGTTAATTATATTTTAGTAATTATTTTATTAATTATACTTTTGGAAATGCCTAACATCAATTAAATAATATAATTAATTTGATTATTTGTGAAGTATAATTTCGAATTAAATAATTGAAAATCCTAGAAAATTTCATAAATCTAAAATTATATCTTGAAATTTAATAAGTTTTCAACAAATATAATAATGAAATAATTATTTACAAAATATTGATCCTAAGATTGAAACTGAAATAACTAATTTAAAAGGTAAGTTGAATGTAATAAGTTATACGTTCAAGTCCTACATTTTAAAGTATGAATTCCGGATAATGAATGATTTGTGTTGTTTATTTAAATCAATATAAATATTTGATCGATAGATATGATGATTTAATTATAAATATGATAAATATTTTATAATTATTGTGATAAATTTGTGATTATATAAATTAAGAAAATATAGGACTTATTTATATATATGTTTAATTGGTTTTAAGGAATTATTAATAATTTTATATTGGTAGATGGACATATTGCCATATCAACCTAGAATAGCTTTCACAAGAACTTAAAGAGTAAGATCTATGCTTTAAACTCCTATAAGTTTACCTTAAACTAGCTCAACTAATTTTAATCAATAAAATCAAGGATAAAATCAATCTAATATCTAATTCAAAAGAAATCGATAGCTTCGTAATAGCTTCAGTGAATTACCAGGATTTTAATTAAAGAACTATTAATTTTAAGGAACTTTAGGGAAGGGTTAATTTGCGAAAGTATACAAGGCCTAAAGAAAAAGTGATGGTTTGATTGTGGCTATCAAAGTATATGAGAAATGCTTTTTAAATATGATGAGGAAGTAGAATATATAGAGAGAGATTAATATATTAAATCAGTTGGAACACACAAATATTATAAAGTTGATTGAAGTGGTTGATAATTTAAGAGGAATAAATTTAATAATGGAATATGGTGGAGATGAGAATTTAAGAGATCTTTCTAATAGATCGGAAAGTAACATTAAACAGATAATTAGACAAATGATAAGAGCATTGAATTATCTTTAAAGCAAATAGATTATACATAGAGATTTAAAGCTAGATAATGTTTTAATAAATAATGGTGTGGTTAAAATTATTGATTTTGGATTTGCAGTATAAACAGATGGTAATAAATTATCTGTTTTTTGTGGAACTCCAAATTATATGGCACCAGAATTATTATTAAAAATTGTTTGTTATTCTTATGAAGTTGATATGTGGGCATTAGGGATTATCTTATATCATTTAATAGCTATTGCATATCCTTTTAAAGGGAAAAATGAATAAGAATTATATACTTGTATTAAATAAGGATTTTATTAAAGACCATAAAGCATTAGTGAATTAGGATTTTAATTTTTAGATAAATTGCTTACAAATAATCCAAAAAAAAGAATAACTGCTAAAGAAGCTCTTTTACATAAATGGTTAATCGAACCTATGATAAAATATTATGATTGATTTTAATTTCATTCCTCATCATTTATAAACTCTCTCTGGGTTATATTCCCAAATTGTTAGTTATGGTATTTTAAATCTACAATATATTTATATATTATTTATCCATCCATAACTAAATGGAGATCCATTCTTTCTTTTTAATTCTTACAAATAAGATATCTTATTCCAACTATAAAATTCCCCTATTTTTATATAATTATATAAAATACAAGTTGTTAAATTTTAAAATGAAAGAAATGTTTAAAAACATAATAATCTTGTTACTAAAACACCAAAAAATATTATTATTGTAAAAAAGTAAATTGAAAAGAATTTAAAAAGATGATTGTAATTATTAAATTCTAAATTTTGTAATGTCTAAAATCTAATTTATTAAAATTTAATACACTAATAAATGCATAATAGATTTCTTAAATCTAAAATACTAAAAACCAATAATAAACACATCTATTTCTTTCTCCAATACAATTACCAGCCCAAGGACAATGATGATCATAACAAGCAACACATTTTTTACATGATTAACAATGTTTTGCTCTTGCTAATTAATCTATTGAACAAATTGGACAATATCTAATCTATTATTAAAATGTTGAACCTTTTTTCTATTAATATCTTATTGACTGCTCTTGTTGATTAAGTTATTTTGTTTCTCTCAGACATTCCTGGTGAATATTATTCACTTATAAATTCATTTTAAACAGAATGTACTTATATTGTAAGAGATGGTTAAAGATTCTTATTCATTATTTTTTCTTCATTTTTATTCTTTTAAGAAGTATTCTCTTCTTATTTTTATATATCAATATCTTTTTATTTATCATTATTGTTAATAGGAACAATAGTTTCATGTTCAATTTAACTTGTTATTGAAAAAGCTTATGTTGATGCCTATTTGGTATCAAAATCTTAGAATATTTTTTGTTGATTATTCTATTTATTAGGAGATGGATATTTATCTGGAGTTTTAGTAAAAGATGGAATCTAATTCATATCAAATTCAGGTAATTGATTAATATCTAAAGATGCTTCACATGGTAATTCTCTTTCAAATATTTTTAAATATATACTATTCATTTTCTGATTTTTATTCTTAAATTGGGTTTTGTTATTCTATTATAGGATAAGTTCTAGCATTAGAAGGCAAGGTTGAAAATTAAAATATTTTGCGTTTTTATGTCATTTAATTAGAACAATCAGTATTATTAGGACTCCTTATCATCAGATAGCCAGGCTAATACTTATAATATGTTATTTACATCTTTGAAAGAAGTCAAACCATAAAATATCAAGGAAAATATCATGACAAAAGCAAAATAATAAAAAGAAATTGTTGAATAATCAAAGAATTAAGGATTGAGTATGCTAAAAATCAATAAAGTACTTCCTTAAAGTATCAAATAAAGAATAGGGGCTATTATAATTAATTGATTATNTAATTATATAAAATACAAGTTGTTAAATTTTAAAATGAAAGAAATGTTTAAAAACATAATAATCTTGTTACTAAAACACCAAAAAATATTATTATTGTAAAAAAGTAAATTGAAAAGAATTTAAAAAGATGATTGTAATTATTAAATTCTAAATTTTGTAATGTCTAAAATCTAATTTATTAAAATTTAATACACTAATAAATGCATAATAGATTTCTTAAATCTAAAATACTAAAAACCAATAATAAACACATCTATTTCTTTCTCCAATACAATTACCAGCCCAAGGACAATGATGATCATAACAAGCAACACATTTTTTACATGATTAACAATGTTTTGCTCTTGCTAATTAATCTATTGAACAAATTGGACAATATCTAATCTATTATTAAAATGTTGAACCTTTTTTCTATTAATATCTTATTGACTGCTCTTGTTGATTAAGTTATTTTGTTTCTCTCAGACATTCCTGGTGAATATTATTCACTTATAAATTCATTTTAAACAGAATGTACTTATATTGTAAGAGATGGTTAAAGATTCTTATTCATTATTTTTTCTTCATTTTTATTCTTTTAAGAAGTATTCTCTTCTTATTTTTATATATCAATATCTTTTTATTTATCATTATTGTTAATAGGAACAATAGTTTCATGTTCAATTTAACTTGTTATTGAAAAAGCTTATGTTGATGCCTATTTGGTATCAAAATCTTAGAATATTTTTTGTTGATTATTCTATTTATTAGGAGATGGATATTTATCTGGAGTTTTAGTAAAAGATGGAATCTAATTCATATCAAATTCAGGTAATTGATTAATATCTAAAGATGCTTCACATGGTAATTCTCTTTCAAATATTTTTAAATATATACTATTCATTTTCTGATTTTTATTCTTAAATTGGGTTTTGTTATTCTATTATAGGATAAGTTCTAGCATTAGAAGGCAAGGTTGAAAATTAAAATATTTTGCGTTTTTATGTCATTTAATTAGAACAATCAGTATTATTAGGACTCCTTATCATCAGATAGCCAGGCTAATACTTATAATATGTTATTTACATCTTTGAAAGAAGTCAAACCATAAAATATCAAGGAAAATATCATGACAAAAGCAAAATAATAAAAAGAAATTGTTGAATAATCAAAGAATTAAGGATTGAGTATGCTAAAAATCAATAAAGTACTTCCTTAAAGTATCAAATAAAGAATAGGGGCTATTATAATTAATTGATTATATACCTATCTTCATAATTCTTAGAGTTATTAATTTATTAATATTTGGAATATCATATATTGATATACCTATGATTTATTATGGTATGAAAATATAATATATATAATATATATAATATATATATATAATATCAATCATCTTCATCATTACCACATAATGCGACTACATGACAACGACCAGGTTGTTTTTATTTTTATACTTCAGGCTCTATTATTTATTATGCAGCAAATTGCATAAAGATCTATTCTAAATTTGGTTGACTTATTTAGAAATCTCTAATCAATTTTAATTCTTTTTGTAATTTTTCTTAAAAGAAATAAAAAGTCTAATGGAATTAAAATCCTTTCAAAGGGAATTTACAAATTATTTTGTTTGTATGCATATCATTCATAATATATATATTCCCAAAATACTTTGTGATCTCTTAAATAATGGCTTCTCCATTATCCTAATAAAAATAATTATATATAAAATTACTATATTATTTGTTGGTTCAATTAAAACTCTATATCCATCTCCAAATTTAGATCTCAAATGTTGAATAGATCCTAAACATGCAAATCTACCATTAACTTATATAGCAATCTTATTACAAAGACTTTCAGCTTCATCCATAGTATGAGTAGTTAAAATAACAGAACTTTATCTTAATTTAACTCCTTATTAAATAGCATTCCATAAAAATCTTCTTGCAATTGGATCAACTCCAGAGGATGGTTCATCAAAAAATTACATATTTGTTCCACCCATCAAAGCCAAAGCAACACATAATTTTCTTTTATTTCCTCCACTCAATTATGATGCCAATGTATTTTCATAGGCTGTTAATTACATCACTTTCATAAAATATTCTATTGTTAAATTTACATCTTCTCCTCTCAAACCTTTTAAATAAGCCCAAATTTGTAGATGTCTTCTAACATTAACTATATCATATAGACTATCAAATTAAGGACAAATTCCAACATTCTAATATACATCTCCTAAACCTTTTTTAACTTCTTAATGTTCTAATAAAATAGTTCCAGTTGATGGTTTTAATTTTGAAGTAATCATATTAAAAGTAGTTGATTTACCTGCTCCATTAGGACCCAATAATCCAAATATTTATCCTGGTTCTATTCCAAATGATGTTCCCTTAACTGCTTAGAATCCATTAGCATATGTCTTTGATATTTTTCTAGCAATCACTCTATCTTAGCAACTCTATATTTCAACTCTTCTTTCTTCTTAAATTACATCATCATCCTAATTCACACTTAAAACACCTCCAGAATTTGCACCTAACAATTCTCTATTATCAATTAAATATGTAATAAAAAGATAGAGACACGCTTACAAGATCATGATAATCATAAAGACAAATGGATAAACATTTTAAAATGGTGTATTTATATGAACCTAATTGTCATTGGCAATTTTATTATATACAGTAATGAATCCACTAAATGTTGCTAATGAAGGACATAAAAATGATAAAATCCAAAGAATAATATCAATTTCAAAGCTAACTACATAAATTACTGAAGCAATCATAAAGAATCCAAATAATTGAATCAATATTAAGGATCTTACTGCTGATAAGAATTATGTAAATAACCATGACAATATATAACCAAGAGGTAAATATGCTAAATAACAACAAAATACAAGTCCATAAACATTTCCATTATTAATTACTTAAACATCACAAATATTAACTGCTATAATAAATATAACCAACACAAGGATACAAATAGTGATATCATAAAAATAATATCCTAACCAATATGGTAATGTTCTGCATCCCATCACATTTAAAGCATATTTCTACTTTTTCTCCCTTTCTTCTACAGGAGCACTACCAATTTAAGAACTAGCCATTGATACACCTAACAATATATAGACATATATATCAATTAAGGCAAATTCACCATAAACTAATGTTGTATTTGTTGTACTATCTAATGTTGGTTATATTGCATTATATGTAATTTTTGAAACGACAGGAGCTAGAACAGCAAAAAAAGATGGCATAAATACACACATTAGATATCTTTTGGCTGTCATAGTATAATGTTTTTTAATAAAACATGCCCAAAGTTATAATCCAAAATTATATTGTGGTGGTCTACTCAAACATTCTGGAGGTATGATTTTATTAAATTCTTCAGTTATGTCAATATTGATTTTAGAATCTTCATTTGATATTTATTTTCCTGATGCTTTATTAAGAAAAGATTCTTCATCCATACCTATATTTATAAATGCTTCTTCTAGAGTATTCATCATTAAATTAACTTAAATAGATTAATCTCTTTCTAATTATTCAAATAATGGTAAGAATTTATCTTTATGTTTAAAAGGAACCTAGAATCCAATACTATCTTAAGATGTTTGAGTACTTAATTTAGCTTGAGGAATGAATTATTAAACAATATTTATAATTTTCTTACTTTTCTCATTCCAAACTTATAGATTGTTTGTTTTATCATATAAACTTAAATGATATCCAATACCAAAATTCATTTTTATAAAATCTACTGATCCAACAGTTAATAATTTACCCTTAGCCATAATAGCCAATCTTTCTGATAATATTTCTGCTTCATCTAAATGATGTGTAGTCAGTACTAAACATCTACCTTCATTTTTCACTTATGTTAGAATGTCCCAAATCTTTTATCTTGAAATTGGATCCATTCCAGAAGTAGGTTCATCTAAAAATACAACTTTAGATTATCCTATCAATGAGATAGCTAAACTTAATTTTCTTCTTGTTCCTCCTGATAATTATTTTGCTAATTTCATTCTATCATTAGTAAGATCACATTTATTGATAATCTAATCTATTTCTAATTGTAATTCTTTCTCATCTATTCCTTTTAATCTTCCATAATAGTATAAATGTTAATCACAATTTAAACTATCATAGAGAGCATCTTTTTATGGACAAAATCCTAAATAATTTCTAATAACATCAAAATCTGTGTCTCTTCCATAATATGTTATGGATCCACTATCTCTTTTTATTAGACCTGTCAATATAGAAATGAGAGTAGTCTTTCCAGCTCCATTATGTCCTAATAAACAAAGAATTTATGAATCATATATTTATAATGTTACACCATCTACTGCTTTAAGATCATTAAAGCTTTTTTTCACATGTTTTATTGATATAGCTCTCTAAATTCATATAATTTTATAATTACTTTCACTTATTTAGGATTATCAAAAATTTCATGATATATAGCTGAACTATTATCTTCCTATATTTCAGATTATCTTGAACCGATAAAGGGTTTGTTCATGTTAGGTAATTCAAACTAATTTGAAACCTACTCTTCTTAATTTGAATATTTTTTTCCAAGAAAAAACAAAGGATGTTTATTTGTTCCATATTCATTTGACAGAACTTATTCTAAATATAAATATAAAATCCCATAGAAAAATATTTCTGCTCCTTATAATCCAAAATACAATGAAGGGTCTAAGGCTGGTATTGTACCTTTATTTATAGTTCCTAGAATTTGATTGTATGGATATATATCAAATAAAAATGTTGGAAAAATAACACCAAATAAAATTACAATCCAAGAATGACTATAATAAATATTGAAGAGTACGCTTAAAAATATGGGATACTAAGTAATGCTGAACACACAGACCCAAAAATATTTAATAGCATTGATAAATCAGCACCATTTTTTGGTTGGTCGAATAATGTTGTTAAGAAATATTGTTAAGCTGTTAATCCAATTGCATAGAGAAGATAACTACCAATAATCTAAATAGGACTAAAGTAGTTGATAGTCAGTTGTTCATTGTCTATTATGATTGTCTCTTCTGAAGGTCCAAAACATCCTGTAGGTACAGCTAGAACAAGAAAGAAGATAGAGACAGCCATTATTCTAGCAAAGTTGAATAGGAACCACCCTAATTAATATGCTGATTGTTTTAAGCCCATGATCTAAAGAATAATGATGAAAAATGATTACTTTTTAGATCTCCTTTTATCTATCACTCTTCTCTGATATCATTGATGTGACTATATATCTTGAACTTATCAAAAGAGTCATAGGTAAAAATTCAGCTCCAATTTAAAGAAGTGTTGAACTTGATGTTTCTTCTAAAAAAGGATATGCTGTATATTCTTACTTCCAACAAGGAGGATAATGAAAACAAGAAGAGCCACAAAGAACTCTTGTCTGTATTAACGCTCTTGTTAGTAAATAGTGAAGTTTTTTTGGAAAACAACGATAGCTTATTGCCAAATGGACATCATACTTTTGATGGAATATTAATTTATTGAATAAAAATTTATTCTATAATTTGAGTTTTAAAATTTAATATACAACATTAATTCCACATTCATTATTCAATATTAATTAATAATCAATTATCTCAACATGTTCTAATTTTATTGTTTTAGGTTACATTTTTGATAAGATGGAGAAACTTACTAAAATAAATTTTATTAAAGAATATTTGAAAATGGTTATTAATTTCTATAATTTCAATGTTTATAATAAAATTTATATTAATTGATAATAAAAATGTTAAACATTTGAGAAATTAAATGATTTCAGATTTTTCATTCATAAGTGCTACGAACTAAGAGATTAGTTTTGATTGCAATAGGATTCTCAATAAAACTTGAACATGTCAAATATTTGACAGGATGTTATTAATTATTGGCTGATAATGCTCTTGGATGAGGTTTAATCAATTGTGTTTCTTTATAAAATTTAATTTGTGGCATCTATTATTTAGATTTTCCATTATTACTAGGACTATTATTATGTTTACTAATATCAATTTATTCTTTTTTAGATTATTAATCAGACTACTTATATACATTATTTACCTACTTTTTAATCTATTATACTGATTTTCTGATAATAACTTTATTTTTAATAGGGGAAGGTTTATGTTATATAATTTATTTTTACATACAAGGACATAAACTATCAAAAATGGGTTTTAATTGAATATTACAGAAATGATAATCTTAATTATTCTATAATGTAATATAT